CCCTCAGGGCGGCAGCGTCCAGCTGCGGGGGCGCGGGGCCGCCGTCCCCCGTCCCCGGCTCCTCGCCGCTCTCCTCCTTCTGCATGCTCTGCTGCTCCGGACACTCGAAGTGGACACAGTGGAACACCTGGGACAGAGAAAGAGAGAAGACAGGTGAGAGGAGCGCCAGCACGGACCGAGCCACACGAAGTCAGGGCGCCCACGGCCCCCACCGCCCCTGCGCCTGGTCAGGCGCCACAGCGCGGATCCCCACGCGCGGTTCTCGGGGGACTGCTCTGTTTGGGTGACTTTTGGCCCACGGCTCTTCCTGTTTTAATCCATCAACCTTTCCTAGGTTAAAAGACGGGGTGAGCTGCGGCGATGGTTGGGAATGAGCCAAACCCAAAGTCACTAAAGTACATTTTCCATGGGCGAATGGGACAGGGTGGAAATTCAGCTGCGATGAGCTGCTACAGGAAGCAGCCGGCGGGCAGGACCCCGGCAAGGCCGCTGCTTACCCCAACTCCGTCCCCAGGCAACCCCCCACCCTGCAGGGGGGACTTCCACCCCGCCTGGGAGCAGCCGGCCTGGGACCAGCATCCTCATCCGAAGAGCCGGCCTCCTGCCTGAGGGCGGCACCACCCTCCAGAGCCAGGAAAAGCTCATCCTCCCGCCTCAGCGTTCCGTGAGGATCCGGATCCGGGCTGCCCCACCTCTACAGACAGTGCTGCCCGGACTCGGCACTGGGCACACCCCATGGGTGAGCTAGGGTGCAGCGGGGCAGGCAGGGCAACGCAGGCCACGGGGGCGGGGGGCAGGCAGCACCCTGGGAAGGGTCCTGGGGCCACAGGCGACCCTGACCTGAGCTGGATCTCTCCAATTAGAACACAGAAGTGACACAGGGTTGACACAAGGTTTTCACACGTAGCTGGAATTTTTCCAGAGCTACAAACACATTTTCAAGATTCACTGGCTAGAATCCCAGGAATAAACCTTTTCCATGATATCAGATTTTGTGCTTTCTTCAAGAAGCTTCTTCAGATCTGTTTTATCAAGTCCTGTCATCAAATACTGTCAGTCCTCCTCTTCCACCTTATGTTTACTTTCTGTCCTCATTTATAAACGTAATTGCATTAAGCTCATGATGAAAGGTTTTATTTCGTTCTCAACCTAATACACTTTCGTCCACAGCTCTACGGGGCCACGCGGACAGTGCGCAGGCCGCAGCGCCTGGAGAGCCCAGGCCCTCGGAAGCCGTGCGGAGAGGTCTCTGCAACATGACCTCAAGAGGAGGGGCACGGAGGCAAAGTGTCTCCAGGAAGGAGTGATAGGAGCAAAGTCCTTGCTGAGAACGGGCTCCGGGGACGCGGGGCAGCCGCCAACAGCGGAGACGCTGCCCCTTCCAGAGCCGCTGACCCTGGGGCTGGAGCTCCGGCGAAGGCTGGCGTGATCTGTGCCCGCGTGTGACTGCGCTGGCCTCGGGCCCCCGAACCTGCGCGGCAGGACACACACTGCTCCTCCCTGCGTTTGTGCCACTGGGAGTGTGTCCTGGGCCGTGGCCCCGGGGCTCAGGAGGGGCCCGGAGGGCTGGTCTCCCCCGGGGAGCCGCGCTCTGCAGCGCGCACACGTCCTTCTCCTGCAGAACCGCGTTCACAGAGGAGCAGACAAACATATCAGCTGCGGAATTATGCTGAAACGATAAATTCCGCGCTTACCTTCCTGCATCACTATCTTATGCACATTCCCATTTCAATTCATTTATCGACCACTGTTTCAAATTCCGCACTTCAAACTCTAATATGAGGACGAGCCGAGACCCCACGTTTTCCTAGTCTGCCCTTCCATCCGGGGTGGCAGCTGTTTTCTCTTCAAATGAGCTGATTTTCCCCCTCAAAGGTGGGCACTTGGCACTGTCCCGGCCCCGCGCTTCCTGCAGAGGCCGCTGACCACTGCGGCCGTGCCCGCCCCAGCCCCGCGGCCCTTGCACAGCTCGTCCCTGGGCCCAGCCGCACGGGTGCACCTGCAGCGCCAGGCGGGCCCTCGTCGGACAGCAGGGCCTTCCGTGGGGATCGGAGAACCACGCGGCCAGCGGTCCGCCCGCAGCCGGGCAGGGCCCTCTGACAGCTGCTAACCCGCCCGGCTCCGTCCGCCTCGCCCGCTCGACTCTCCCGCGGCCCCCAGAGGAGCTCCAGGCGGTGGCCCTCGGTGCGGCGGGTGGGCGCTGGGTCATCCCCGCCGCGCTTCCGCTCCCACAGCGAGCACACGGCCGGCCCTTTCGGTAGGCCCGGCGCGCTCCGCCCCGCCGTGCTGGTCTGGGCCTCCCCTCCCACGCTGGCGCGCCGTGCTGCCTCGTCCCTTCTC